TGGGTGGGTGAGGAACTGAAGAGATGCGGCCATTGGAGCTTCTTGGCCCCAGCATCTCGCCCTCTAGGTAAGAGACACTCAACCAGTTGCCCTCAAGCCAACTCCCCCTCCCGGCTACCCCACGACAGAGAAGAACCATATTCTACAGGGTTCTCAATGAAGTTGCCCTTTCCAAATAGATGGCCAGGTATCGTGCCCTGGATGCATTTGGAGGGCATTGTGCTCAGGAACGTTAGTCTATCACAACAGGGCCAAGGGTGTATGAGACCACTGTCATAAAAGAGAAAAAAATTTAAAAAGGGTTTTGATAGCAAAAGAAACAGACTGATGGTTGCCAGGGGTCAGCAGAAAAGGAGACAAGGGAAAGCAATCAGCTTGGGGGCAGACAGTTGTGAACGTGGGTAAAGGGGAGGATAACTTTCCTACACGAAAGAGCAGGGAGGAAAGGTGGGGGAACAGGGTGAGCGCTTGGGAGGTTTTATAAGTTGTTTAAATTGTTGAATACCAAAGGGATGATCTGAAATGTAAGGCCCTACCCAATTCACAATAAAAAGTTAACAAATATATTGTTAAGGGGAAAAAAAAAAGATCATCAGGTTTGTCTTTTGAGGTACCCCTGGATGGATTTAAATTTCCAACCTTTGATTAGTGGCCAGGTGTGTTAACTGCTTGCACCCCCAACTGCTAAGAGATAAAACCAAAACAATGTGTAAGCACCAAACCATCCCGCTCCCTGGAGAGAGATCAGGACTATGCAAAATACTGAAGAGTTGTGAGGAAGTAGGTGGTCAGGAGAAACAGGGGTGAGGTATAAGGAGCTTTGATGCCAGGCCTTTGATGTTCTGCATGCATCCTGTAAATAACAGTAACTTAATGGAAAAGGAGCCTGAGAATGATTCAACTAGCTGGGATTACCGGGAAGAAAGGGAAATTCTGAGGCAGGAAAATCAAAAGGGATGTGTGTGCTTAGACTGGAAATGGATGGGGGTCTCAGCTAAGAGGGCAAAAATAACAACAACAACAACAACAACAACAAAAACCCCACTGCTGTGAATCAATTCTGATTCATGACAATCCTATAGGGCAGGGTGGAACTGCCCCTGTGGGTTTTCGAGACTGTAGCTCTTTATGGGAGCAGAAAGCTTCATCTTTCTCCTGCAGAGAGGCTGGTGGTTTCAAACTGCTGGCCTCGAGGTTCGCAGCTCAGGTGTAACCACTACTGGGGAGGAAATGGCTGTGGTAAATCATGGAGAGGCAGGTATAAAACATGATCCAGGCATGGGAAGCTCGGTAACCAGGGTCGTGATAGTTCCACGCACAGAAACAGAGGCGTGAAGAAGGTTCGAGGATGTGCATGGGCTTCCTTTAAGACCCAGATTCTCCCTGATCTTGTACCAATGATTTCAAATTCATTAAAAATAAGTCCTGCAATGACGATGGCAACAAATGTACAAGTGTGCTTGACCCAATGGATGGATGGATGGATTGTGATAAGAGTTGTACGAGCCGCCAATAAAATGATTTAAAATAATCTTAAGTTCTGCATGTTCATAGGTCCCTGGGCAAGGCCAGCAGTTTGGGTTTGAGTGGGAACCAATGGGTTGTGGGTTCACACCCACTCAGCAGCACCACAGAAAGCCTTCTGTAAAGAATGTGATTGTTTGCTCCTTTCGCCAAGCACTCGCTCCTTAAGCCCTAAGTTCCTCAAAACCAGAACAAAACAAAACCAGAAACCTGTCACCAAGAAAACCCTCGGGAGCAGCCCTACTGTACAGCCCATGGAACGGACACGAGGCCGGACGGCCTTGTGGGAGCCGCCCTCAGTTCCTGACCTGAGTCTTTTCAGAAGGGCACTTACCGACCAGGGTCTGGTCCGTGGCTTGAGGAAAGCGACTCTCCTCATCCAAGAGCGCAAGCAGGCCCAGGGGGGTCTGTAGGATCATGTCCAGGAGGGGACGGTTGTCCTCATATGCCACGAGGGCCGCGTCAATGCCCTCATTCTCATACTCCATCTGGAGGGAAACGGACTGTGAACCTCACCAGTCCCCACCCGGCCGAGGCGCCCGCAGGATGCCTTGGCCTGGACCGGTGGGAAACAGGGTGTGTTTGCCGCATTCATGAAGCCCTGGTTTAAATGTCCCACTTTTGACTTTCGGTAGCCGCTGAAGCTGGGAGACGTGGACCTGGCCCACTGCCTCCCCAACATGGCTTTGGTAACTCATGATTTAAAAACGAATGTAGGAAGGAGGGGAAGCTGAAAAATGTCTGCTTTGGGGACAGAGAAGACTTCTATTTTCTGCGGGGGACTCGGTGAAAGACTCCCTCGCTCCCTCCCATCGAGTTGATCCTGACTCACAGCGAGCGACCTGATAGAACAGGGTGGAAATGCCCCGGTGGGCTTCTGAGGCTGTAACTCTTTACAGGAGTAGAAAGCCTCATCTTTCTCCCACAGAGCGGCTAGTGGTCCGAACTGCGGACCCTGAAGTTAGTAGGATTAACCATTACATCGCCAGGGCTCCTCATCTTAGATTAGAAAACTAAAAAGAACCCCAGATTTCCCAAGGAGTCAAATGGAAGAACGCCGGACTGATGGTGGAGTTGGGGGTGGGGTGGGGCAGGACAGGTGAGGAGGGCCATGTTGATTATCCAGCTCCAATGATGAAAAGCAGTGCTGGCCTTTTTTAACCCAGTGTCCCTGAGGTTCTTTGCTTACGATGCTGTTTGTGTGTCCGCTCCTACAGCAAGAGAACGATGCTGCATTATGGGACTCGGTCAGGGAGAAAGTCTTGGGTGGGAGAGGCTGCCACACAGATGTGACTGCAAGCGAAGGTCCTCTAACCCTGGGTCCACTAGCTTCACCCTGCTGCTTTATTGACCGTGAAACTCTCCGAGAAAATGGAAAACGCCTCTTACTCTTCCCTGCAGCCACCCCTCCAAGTATTATGGGATGTAGGAAATGGGTGCAGGAAATGGGCATGAGAATGGCCAGTTTTGGTGTAAGAACAAGAAATGGTGTCCGGTGGTATCAGAATGCCCAGTGTGCATCAGGTTATGGACAACAGTGGCAGGGTCTGGTTGCGGGGCCCCACACAGATTAGGGCCCTGGCGAATTTCCTCAGACGATAGTCGGTGGGTGTAAATGGCTTTGCTATGAGACAAAGAGCGCTGTAAGATCAAATGTGGCAGATGGAGTTAGGTTAACATGTAATACCTGTTCACTTGATCTCCCTTTTGACCCATTTTAAAGGTTCGGTTTTGAATGTAGTCTGTTTTCCACTGAGGTTTATTCATTGGTGGTGTTTGCTTGCTTGTTTCTGCTTCCTGTCTGGGTTTGGTATGGTTTGTGCGTGGGAAACCCAGGAGAGGTAAATCTATAGAGACAGTAACTGGGTTAATAATTACCTAGGGGCCTGGCAGGGGAGGGTTGCGGGAGGATGAGGGGCTAACAACAGCGCCCGTGAGAAGAGAATGTTGTGAGAATGACTGTGGTGAGGACTCTTCTCAATAGGACTGAGTGATCTCATTGTATCATGTGTGAAGTACATGCCAATAAAGATTCTTTTTCATCAAAATTAAAAAAAGAACCCGTGCCCTGAATTCATGATCGTCTGGTGTCATTTTGGGCACGAGCATAGATGTTTTTAGTTCAATGAAGGAGAAGCGAGCACAGCCCTGTGGGCAATGTGCACAGAGCCCTTTGGAAGCGAGATTTAAATAATTGCCTTGTCACTAGCTCCACTCAAGTGAAGAACTGTACCTTTCCATAGAAATCAAATCTTTTTTTTTTTTTCCCCTGACTAAATTTAGACTGTCTGCTTATTTTGACAAGACTGTCTCACCAGCCATTTTTCTCTTGAGACTTGTCCCTCCTGGCCTGCCCAAAGGAATTGCTGCTTCAAATCACGGGCCCTTTCCCCGCCAGGCTGGGTCACTGCAGTGTCCACTCTTACCTGCTCAAGAGCAAAAATGTGCTGATTGAAGTAGTATTGGATTTGTTCATTGGCGATGTTTATACAGAGCTGCTCAAATGAATTTCTCCGAAAGTTCTCAAATCCAAAAATGTCCAAGATGCCCACATGCATACCGTCATCCGCACGACTGCAGGAGAGGGCAGGGTAACAGGGCGTGAGAACCTACATGCCTCTGTGTGTATCCATCCTCGCCCCGGAAAGCAGCGTCCTCCCTCCATTCTCAGAGAATATACACTTCGCGTCTGAAACCATTTGCTCCTTTAACCTCTCCACAGCCCTCTCAACTCGGTTTATTGTCAGCAGACTTCGTGAACACTGACTCAGAAGCTCTATGCATGAAGCAAGGGAAAGAAGAATTACTCCCTCTGATGATAGAACTTCTGCCCACCCCTTGTTTCAACTAATGACACACAACACTTAGTTGGAAGAAGGTTCTCGACGCGGATGTTCTCAATTCTGTTATATATAAGATATCACTAAAGCTGAAATCTTAAAAATTATGTAAGATACTGTTCTTTCAAAGCGTCTCATCCAGTCTTTTGGTGGTGGTGGTTTGAGATGAACGTGTGGGCCACGGAAGACTCCACATGCATTTCAGTTGGACTTTTCCTCCTTTTTGTTCACGGACCCCTCAAACCAGTAGTTAGGGTTGAGGGCTAAGGAATCCTAAGGGGTTTTTTTTTGTTTGTTTTGTAAAGTAACACACTGTATCTACTTACACAGCCCATCTCAAGAAATGAAATCAACAACGTCGTCCTTAAACCCTCCGTATAGAAGGCACACACACACACACTCAAACCAGTAGTTAGGGTTGAGGGCTAAGGAATCCTAAGGCGGTTTTTTTTGTTTGTTTTGTAAAGTAACACACTGTATCTACTTACACAGCCCATCTCAAGAAATGAAATCAACAACAACGTCCTTAAACCCTCCGTATAGAAGGCACACACACACACACACACAC